ATGGCCCTCTCGGCAGTTTGAATATGCAATGGCCCTTTTGGCAATTTGAATATAAATGGCCCTCTCGGCAATTTGAAAATGATGGCCCTCTCGGCAATTTCAATATGAATGGCCCTCTCGGCAATTTAATATGCAATGGCCCTCTCGGCGGCTTGAATATGATGGTCCTCTCGGTAGTTTGAATATGCAATGGCCCTCTCGGCAATTTGAATATAAATGGCCTTCTCGTCAATTTGAATATGATGGCCCTCTTGGAAATTTGAATATGCAATGGCCCTCTCGGCAATTTGAATATGATTTTGACTATGAACGTCGTCTTTCATCAATATTTGATATGATGATAGGTACTTTTTGATCATAACATCATTTTCATCGGTATCTCGTAGCCTTATGTGGTAGATACTAATCTTTAATTTATCAAATACCTCTTTGATCAAACGAAGATGTTACACTCACTAATTTGATATTTGCTGGATATGTTCTCCTGAACTAGTTGGTTGATAAAATATAGCTCCTTTGATGATCTTATTATACCCTGCATCCATAAAAACATGTTAGTTTTGGAACACTGATCTGTGTTGAAGTCGTCTTGCTCCTGGTCTCGTTATCTCTGGAACTTTTGTCTGGTAGATCCAATAAATCGCAGTAGACAAAAGAAAAAATCATATTTAAATTAAAACATTTGCTAGGCATGAAGTTTTGAAAAATAGTTTTAAAGAAAATCTCTACCAATTAACTGTCACGACATGCACGATACGAACAAAACCCTTTGTCTCAGATTTTGATATGATAGGTAGCTTGCTGGCAACTTAAAACCCTTTAAGAACATGTCAATTTGAGGCAATTGAAGTTGACTTCGAAGGTCCGGGTATCTTTGATGGAATTTTTGAGGTCCTTCTCAAATATTCTATCCAGTTAGATGTTTCAAAAACAAATATGATGATGATCACGGGAGTCTTGAATTTGAGATCTCCTCAAAATTATTCCCAGTTGCACATTTCGATATGATATTTGACTCTTGTTTGTAGGAAATGACCCTTCTTGTAGAATTTTTGAGGTCCTCTAAAAAATTCTGTCCCAGTTTCCACTATTAGGGGAAATGGAAATCTTATTGGGAATATGACCGAACCCTTGTGGCGCCTACGTATCTCGTTGAGGCAGGAATCAGGTCAAACATAGTTCCCATCTCGAGAAAGTTGACAAAAATAGAAAATTTGATAAGGAAACGACCAAGGCCGACATAGGCCGCCTACATATCTCATTCTTGAGAATTTAGGTCGAACGTAGTTCAAGTACAAGGGAATGTTTCAAAACATAATGCGATAATGATTACAAACAAACTGCAATTACAAGGAAATAAAGGAAATAAATAGCATCCTTCAAAGGCAGCTGAATTGATAGCTTTTCGCCACACTCTACCGTCCATCTCTGCTAGAACCAAAGCTCCTCTTGATAGTACTTTGTGGACAACATACGGTCCTTGCCAGTTAGGTGCAAACTTCCCTTTGTATTCGTCTTGATGAGGGAAAATGCGTTTCAATACCAATTGGCCTACCTCAAATGTTCGAACTCTTACTTTCTTGTTGAAAGCGCGAGTCATTCTCTGTTGATACAACTGGCCATGACAAACAACACTCATTCTTTTCTCATCAATCGATGCCAATTGCTCATATCGGTCACGAACCCATTCGGCATCGCTCAATCCAGCTTCCTGAATAATCCTTAAAGATGGTATCTCAACTTCAGCTGGTATCACTGCTTCTGTTCCGTATACCAATTGGTAAGGGATTGCTCCAGTTGAGATTCGGATTGTGGTGCGATAACCTAGCAAAGCATAAGGCAAATTTTCATGCCAACATTTGTAGTTGTCAATCATCTTTCTCAGTTATCCTCTTGATGTTCTTATTAGCAGCTTCCACAACTCCATTCATCTGAGGACGATATGCAGTTGAATTGCGGTGGATAATTTTGAATTTTTCACATATCTCTTTCATCAAATGACTATTCAGATTTGCTCCATTGTGTATGATGATAGACTCTGGAACTCCAAAACGACATATCAAATTGCTGCGAACAAAATCGGCCACAACTTTCTTTGTCACAGCTTTGTAGGAAGCAGCTTCGACCCACTTTGTGAAGTAATCAATGGCGACCAAAATGAACCTATGACCATTGAAGGCAGCAGGCTCAATCAGTCCAATAACAGCCATTCCCCATACTGCAAATGGCCAAGGGGAACTCATCACATTGAGCTTGTGGGGTGGTAATCTCCATGTACCTAGCATTTATGACATATTTGGACAAATCGTCCACTAGTCATCCAAAACTATCCTGCTCTTAGGATTTTCTTTACTAATGTAAACTCATTCATGTGCGTCCCACACACTCCAGCATGCACTTCTTCAAGCAATCTCATAGCTTCTGCAGCATCCACACATCTTAGTAACCCTAGATCAGGAGTCCTCTTATAAAGGACCTTTTCATTCAAAAAGAAGTTGTTTTCCATTCTTCGGATTGTTTTCTTCTGAATACTTGTTGCTTTTTCCGTATATTTGCCATCTTCTAAGTACTCTTTCACATCGATATACCATGGATTCCCATCCTATTATGCTTCCACATGTGAACAATGTGCTGGTTGTTCTTTTAAAACTATCTCAAGTGGATCGATATAACTCTTTTCTGGGTGTTGTATCATGGACGATATGGTTGCAAGGGCATCGACAAGCTCATTCTGTATTCTCAGCGTGTCTGAACTCAGTCTTCCTAAATCTTTTGCATAACATCTGTACCAATTGTACGTAAGGTAAGATTTTAGGATTCTTCACTTTTCTTGGGCCTTAGGCCCAATATTTCACCTGTCCTAAACACTAACAAAATAATAAACATAAGTAGGCTTAGGCCCAGAATAACAAAATACAATTTTTCAAAATGTAGGCTTTTGGCTCAATTTCCTCAATCTTTCCGATTTGCAACACTTTATTATGCATGCTTAACATATACGATCTCCTGCAACCTGTACGCCTTTTTCGGGACTTATTCTTCAATTTTTAAGGGGCAGGCTGACTCGAATAAAAATAATTGGGCCTCCGTGGCCCAATAGGAAAATGCAAGAATAGAATCCATGAGGACCGGATAGATTACACATGCAAACACAAACAAATAAAATGTAAGTAACAATTCAATGATTTAATATAAGAAAATAGAGAAAAATAAATAAATGCTACTACTTGGATATCATCATAGGCACTAAACAATCTTTTTTTTATTTTTTATTTATTAGTAATTAAGTATGACAAGAACCAAGTAAGGTAGGTATGAGAAGAAATATCCACCTAAATACCCTAATGCATTAAAAGCGATGATCAACCAACGACCATAAGTTAATATAAACTAACTTAGAATATCAAAATCGTAAGGCATCAAAGAGTGAACAAACCCACTTTCCGGCTAACAAAAAATATATATTTAAGAACTCTTGTCAAGGTTTACAATAAAACAACACAGTAATTAATTATGAGGGCAAAGTCAATTCCAAACTCCATTTTGTAAGATCATACTAGTAAGGCACAAAAATTAAGGGGTCAATATCTCAAAAGGTCACTCAACTTTGGAGATTTATCTAACAAAGTTATTAAACTTTATTTAGTATCAATAAAATCACTTAACTAAATTTATCACAATTTTAAACATTTTAGTACTCTTATTCGGTCTAATGAGTCCTAATTAGATCTGTGAATACAAATTTCATCGATAATTTGTTTGTGCTAGTTATAAGAAACAGATACACTAGTGGACCAATAAATGAAACTCCTAATCATTTCTTTTTATTTAGTAATTAGTAAATTAAGATAATATAATAAGAGTATTTGTTTCACCAATTAAGTTTACCCATAAAGGAATTAAATTAGCTTTCTTTAATTTTATTTATTTGTAGGGTCTATTTTATATGACATAAAAAATTAATGATAGATCTAGTTGAGTGATTTTATCAACGCAAATGTCTAAGTTGAGTGATTTTATTGATACAAAAAAAAAATCTAAATTGAGTGATTTTATTGATACAAAAAAAAAATCTAAATTGAGTGATTTTATTGATACAAAAAAAAAATCTAAATTGAGTGATTTTATTGATACAAAAAAAAAAAAACAAACTTTAATGACTTTGCTAAATTAATCCCTAAAGTGGAATGATCTTTTAAGATATCAACTCCAAAATTAAGGCGACAAATTTGGTTTCTAATATTAAAAATACTATCAACTAAAATCATGGGTTTCTAGCATGTAACAGTGCTATTTCAAATGTCCTTAACTGTTTTCTTTTCTTTTCTTTTCTTTTTTTTTCATTCAAAAAAATATGAAAGATCCACATATTAGCAAGAAAGATTAAGTTTCAAAGAATTGTCAACAATTCAAAAGCAAAACCTTTAAACATGGGTAGGAAAATAAAATAAAATAATAGTGATAGCAACAATTTAAAAATTGTAACTTTGACAAAAGAGCAAGAGAAGAAGTTTAACATGTTTGCAAATAAAAAATCACATTAAATAATCACTTCTTATACATGAAACATATAGGATAATGCACCAATAATGACCGCTCAACACTTCCAAATAAACTCAACAAATATGACATGAATAATAACACTAAAATGGATGCGGGAATAAGCATGAACATCGGCTAGCTCGCGCTCGGAAGTAGCTAAATACAATTGTATAAACTCATTCACATCCTCTAACAACATAACAACAAGCATGGATCCTATTTTATCAAAAGAGAACAGAACAGAAACATGATTAGCCAATAACACATGCTAAAACTCGAGGCAAGCACAACGACCACCAATTCGGACGACTACAAACAGAGAACAATTCAAAACATATACTAATCATCTTAAGAACAGAACCTGCACTACTCATTTCAGAAAAAAAAAAAAGATTAAGAAGACGACTTAAGCTTTAACATATCATGCGAGAGTATTGTGGCATGGATCAAAGTACACCTCATGGTCTAAAATTTACAAGGGGGCAAACTGAATAAGAGAGTTACATGTGATTTACCTCGTTAAGAGCAACGAGCAAGGACAAAATGAGCAGAGAAGTAGCTTTCCACGACCACAACGAGATTCCGACTCGAGCAACAATCAAGGAATTTGAGTAAAATATTGAACTCAACACCAAAACTAGTTCTCCTATGGTTCTTTGGTATATATTTAGTATGTATTTTTTACTGCTTTCGCTTAAGTTGCTATAAGTATTCTTTGCTCTAAAAATTTTCCAACCCCAAAAAAAACCTCCTCAAAAATGACAAAAAAATATGTATTTATAGGGGAAAATTCGGGTTCGGTTTTGGATGAAGAACGGATAGGAACATGGCAAAATCGTAATTCCTCCGATTTCGAAATTCAAAATCTGGAACAGGGAGCAGGCTGGAACGAAATTTTCTCCAAAATTCCAGAAAAACCGGACAAGGCAGCAGACTGGAACGAGTTGGTGAGGGCAGACGCTTGCTTTTCCGTGGATTCTGCCGAATTGCTGCTGCTACTTTGACATTCAGAGCACTGTTGAAGAAGAAGGAGAACGTGGGGGGGGGGGTCATTGGTTACTGCTGTACGTATGTATAAATGTTTTGAATTGTATGTATTGTATGTTACGAATTAAAAGGGAAAAGGGGTGGGGTCGGTTAGTGTAGGCTGTTGTATTATTATATTGTTGGAAGGGGTCGGTTGGTACATGTATGTATTGTATTGTTTTGGATATGCTTGGATCATTGCATTGTTGTATTAAAGGGTTGTTATTAATTGTAAAAAAAAAAAGAGTGGCGTCGGTTGAAAGGGAGTTAGAAAAACTTAGCCAATTAGATTTAGCTAAGATAGATTCAGCTAGTAATTAAACAAGATAAATTGATATTAATTAATTAACGAGCTTCTTAATCTTAACAAAATAAAATAATTAACTTAATTATAAACTAATTAATTTAAAACTAT